GAGAGAGAGAGAGAAATGATGCTTTTTCATTTGCAACTGTTCCCGTGCGGAAGATTGTTTATCGCGACGTAATTGCGGCAAATAAAACTCGGCAATCGCGATCGAGAGATTACGAGTTCAACCATCGGCGAGAAAAACAGGCGACTCGGCAATGCGCGATGACGGCTTCTCTATGGAACGGCAAAAAGCCAGACGAGAAAACTCTCTCGCGAAGCTCCCGGGACAACTCGCCATCGAGCTTTTCTCGCTCGACTGACGTCTCTAGATTTCATCTTCCCTCCTCGAAAATCCTAAAGTACTTCCATCATACTTTCTTACCATTTCTCTCCCAGCCCTCTTCTCCTCCCTTCTTGCGAAACATCGCTACAACCTCCTTAGAAATGTCGCTCCGTCCGTGTTTTCCCTCCTCTACCATCCCCTACCATCCCCGATGTTTCATCCGCCCTACCTCGTCGGCGGTCTGTTTATCTGTTCCAGGATAATTCGGATTCTCCCCCGACCGGTATATAGGACGAGCCACTTCGTCAGAATTTAATGCACCGTAAAACGAAGCTTTTCCTTCCCTCTCGCTCTCTGCCTTTGGGTGTCTCTCTGCACTTTCGAAGTCGCGACTGAATCCGCTTTATCATTACCACCGCAGTTGCACGCGCGCAGGCGCGCGCGATTTCGGCAAGCTCTCGTTCCCTTCCCGAAGAAATCCGCCCGCGGGATGTAGCCGAGATAAGTAAAGCCAACGAAAGCCTCGAGTTCATCAGATAGAAGTCGCGTCCTCGTCCTGTGATGGGAATTCTACGAAGTTGATGCATCACCATGCGATTTCACCGGTAATTTTTAACTGTCGTTATCGTTGCATGCGGAAATCCCCGCCAAGAATTCATTCCAAAAACATTTGAAAAATTAATTTAATTGTAACTGTAAAAATTAGATAATATTATGTAATTATGCTTAACTAGAGTCGTATATAATTCTAATTTATGTCTAAGATATGTATCAAACGATTTTTAATATTCACATTTTTTTTAATTTATACTCTCTTCTGATATTAAACACAGGAAATTTTAAAATTTTAAGAATTGTACAATTCCATCTGAATAATGAGAATAATTAATAAAAAGTTAAATTCCAAAATCGTATCTTTAATGTGAGAAGAAAAATATTAATTTAAAAAATAGAATCAGCCAGAAGTGATTGCTTGGTACTTTCTGCGTTAAGAGATAGTTAGATACAGTTAGAAATAAAAAATTAATTTCTTTTTTCCTTAAAATATGGCTTTTTCTGTACATTTTAAATTAATTAAAATAATTTTTAAGTATTTCTAAATATTTTAAAACAGAAGTTAAACATAAAAATCTAGTTATAGCATGAAAATCTTTGAAGTGCTCCTTCATAAAATCATGTTTTTGACCTTTATGTACTTTTCCTCAGTAATTACCGAGCTGATTTTTATAGTTCTTTTTTTAAATCTCTTCGGAAATGAGCAGACTGTGATTTCAGATCATTTTAGAAAATTATAATTTTATTAAAAATTACGAGCAATCGAGATTACAAAAAAAAATCAACTTTGTTTAAACTTTAATTAAAAATCAGAGAAGATTCATTTAGAAGAAGGCATCGATCAAAGTGCTAACTAAAGTGCTAACTAAAATACCAACAGAATATTAAAAAAAACGTATCGAATATGTTGATTCAATAATTAAAGATAGATAGTTTTGCTTTATGATTTTGCAATTACTTAATACATCCTGCATTACGATATTGCTTTGCACATTCAAATATGATAAACGAGATTGAAAGTTTCAAGCTAGTGGCACTAATTAAACTGCGTGATACACAGATTTAACAGAGAGAACGAAAGAATATTTGAAATTTCTGATACGCTTATGCGTAGGTGCGAATTCGTGCGTTTGGGTGAATACATATTGAAAAACTCGCAATTCGCTCGGAGCGCGTATGACGAGTCGTGCGCTACTTTGTTTTGTAAAATTGACAGATACTAAAATAATAAAAAAAAAACAACAACAACAAAGAGAGCGAAAAGAAAGAAAGGATGAAATGGAAGAATAGCGCCCGGCGATAGAAATTCGAGGCAATCTATTCGGTAATTGAAGCTTCCATTATTTTCCGGCAGAGCTGCGTACAACCAACTCTTTTCGTTGATTCTCTTGTTTCTCGCGTTTTTTTGCGTTTTTAATACCATGTATATGTATATATACTTTTGTGTGTGTGTG